AAAACACAGCTCGCCCACTAATTCTCTGCTCATTCGGCGTCAACGAAGAGTAAACATACTGCAATACAATCTTTACCTGATAACCTTCCAAAGACTGTTAAATAGTGTTAGGAAGGTAAAAAACACATGCATAAACGAAGCCAAACAAGTATAGCAAAGCATACTTACAAACAATAAGTAAGAAATTTAATATAAACATATATAGTAGACAAGACATTATAACTTTCATATTAACCGAGGAACACGGGTAAAATCTCATCTGCTTCACTGTTGAGTACACAGAATTTTGTAGCCAATCGTGATAATCTTCAAAACATGCTGCAATAATTGCGAAAGCATAAAACCTTGAAAAATAATCATGAAAACGTTGATGGTTCGAACACCCAGAAATCTCGTAGCGTCGGGTTTCTGACGAGGTCTATTTGAATGTAGGTAAACTGATATGCTCCAGCAGTATTATCTCCAAGGTTTCGGCACTCGCGTTGGGCGTCCTCTTTCTGAACACATATAATTCATTTCATTTCCTGAAGCAAGGCGTAATTTTAATCGATAAGTTTTTTCCACCCTAATGCATAAACGGCCTTAAGTTTCTTGAGTCATTTATGCTTAAAGAGATTTGTGTTATGTTTTTTGAAATTTTGGTCGTCCTTGTTTATTTCAAAACATGAGATAACGTACCCTTACCTAAATTTTTTGAACTTGCGGATATTACCACTGAAATTTATTGACAGGGAGATAAAAATATAAACCAAACATCATCACCTTGCTTAAAATGAACGTAGGTAAAACGAGTACTAATTTTCCTAATGCGCTTATTTAAATGTCAGCTATTCAAAATGCTGAAATAAGTTAAAAGAAATGGAATCACGACAATGGTAATCGTTTCCCTTATTAATATTATCTGATTAGAATTAATTAAAAAAGCAAAACTTATTGAACTTATTAAAATAAGGAGTGGATGAACCACTAATTTTTTTTAAATTACAAAAGCCCTTTTTGTATCTTTTTGGTATCTGGATTGTTTTTAAAATAAACTGATAAAATCATAACCTTCTAAATGCTAAATTTTATGTGCATTTTTGTGTGATATATCTAATGCATTTAAAATTTGTGCTGTTTGATTGAAAATGCGTTAAAAACGAAAAGAAAATAGCAGATATAATAAGAAAAAAGCGTATTTTTTAAAATTATATTGCTTTATATTACTTTAATTTGAATTTGTTTAAAAGACTAGAACTGGTTTTCCTAAGCTAGTTGTATAAATTAAATACTTACATTTTGAAGTTGTTGTACTTGTTTTTGAAGATTAGTATTTTTTATGGTTAATTCTGTGTTTTTTTCTAAAACTCGTGCTAGTTGATCCTCCTGTAATTTAAAATGGATCTCATGAGGACACGAATAATACTCATGTTATAAAGTAAAAAAAAATGTAACAAATAAGGAGGTATTGAAATAAATTGAGCTTAAATCCCAGTCTCAGTAACCAGTCTTAACTCAGTGCAAAAATAAGAAAATGAAAATTGTGTATTGGGTCTATAAAAAAAAAAGTTCACTTTTAAAGATGTGGCTTTTTTTTCTGTTCACAAATAATTTCATAAAGTGTAAACTTTAAAGTACGTGTATTTCATGCTAATAGGCGAAAGGAAGACAATTGACAGTATTAGTGTCTTACAAGTGTATTTGTCATAATTTCAAAGTGTACGACTAATTAAATTAACTGCTCAAGTCATCACTCAAAATGTGCCACTGAGTGATAAGATAGCTTATAATAAATAGCCTAACCAACAGCCAATGCAGAGTGGTAGAAGAAGTGCAATTGATTTAGCAGAATTTTTTATTTTATTTTAAAGAAGGAATTTAATAAGTATGTCAGCTATAAGCGCACTGATTGTTTAGAAGAAATTATCAACTGTTTGTCATTATGGACGTGATGGCGGATCATCTTTTGGTTAAGATATCATCCACTATCGCACTATGAATATATATAAAACTAAATAACCTAGACTACTTTGGTGTTTCAATGTGTACTCGAAAATCCACACAGACCTTGTCCATACACACTTAAACCTAGGAACAACTTACCAGATGCCACGCTATGCGACGCTACCAGATCTACCCGACGCAAATTCAAAGTCAATTTTCCATAAGATTGCATCAACCTCGTGCACATCTGCCCGACGCCACGTAACGCTACCCTACTCTACGCTCTGCGATCCCCACTGTCCAGATTTTCGTCGGGTAGCATCGAGTACAGTCGAAGACCAAAAGAACCGGACACTCATATTTTTATTTAAACTGCATGTATTATTGCCGTTATATTAATTAAAACATACTTATTTTAATATAAACCAAATTAACCGAGATCAAAAATTCATTAGTTTTCATTTAAAAAAAAAATAGTTTTAATGGTTTGGTAGAAAATTGATCAAAACACCGGAATACCACTTTTTGATATAATGAATTTACTTTTAATTACTAACAATTTATTACACGGTTTTGCTCATAAAATTTAACTAACAATTTATTTCATGGTTTTGCTCATAAAATTACACCATTTTCGTCGAGAAGCTTGAGAAGAGGACACTCATATTTTTTGTAGTTTCTTTCAAACTAAGTATATGTAATTTTGTCGTTATATTAATTACAACATTCTTATATTAATATAAACCAAATTAAACGAGATCAAAAATTCATCACTTTTTATAAAAATTATTTAATTATGATGGTTAGACAGAAAATTGATCGAAACACGGGAATAACTTCATTTAAAACAATTAAATTTAACAAACAAATTATTACATGGTTTGTGCTCATAAAATTTAACTAACAATTTATTACATGGTTTTGCTCAAAATAATGCATTAAGAACAAAAGAGGCGTTGCGATTGCGATACTGATTTGTGATACTCGCTGTATACATGTGTACATCCTACTAAAACGTGGCAAGGCGTCGGGTAGCATCGGGTAGTGTCGCATTGCGTTGCATCGGGTAAGTGTGTTCCCCGCTTAACACTCACGCAAATAAATATATTCGTTCAAATTAATGATATTAATTTAACCAACGTTTGAAAGGACTCCCTGTATGCGACCATATACGCTTATCTGCTTCAGGCATCGAAAAAACGCATTGTAACCACTAATTTTTGTTAAGATCTGAATATTGTAAAGATTTTATTGTTATCATTACTTGAACTGTTTAAGAATAATGAGTATACTTGTTTTATACCCATCGAAGTTCATAGGCAGCCCAACAATTTTACTTTTCCCGGTAAAAAGATTAAGGGTGGTTAGGGTAAATGGTTGGCATAAAGGGGCGAGCAGAGGAATTTGGATGAAAGTGGCGCAGATCAGGCGGATCTGGATAAAGTTTTAACCGAGAAAACGCAAACCATTTTTCAAAAAAAAAGTAGAAATAACAACGTTCAGACTTGTAAATGCAGCGAAATATAAATTGCAAAAATGTGCAGCCATTCTGATTTCAATATAGATTGCCTACTGTGCGGTAGGGCCGATCAGACGGATGAGAAGATTTATGTCACTATCGGAAAACCTGATGGATCAGTTCGGTTGTTACAAAAGCCACTGCAATTCCCTGGGAAGGTTTTTGTTATCGGCATCGACAAATTTGAAAATGACTTTTCAACTGTGTTCAGATTTTATTTTATTGCGTTTGTCACGGCTGAGGATTAGGTTGGAGATTATTTACACGCTAATATAATTTACGTAATCGTGAGATGAATTGTTTCTGGTATGTTCATTTTTGAAGTTGTACTTGAGTAAGTCCTCATGGTTTGTAATAAGCCATAATTGACCATGATAATTATTTCAGCCGAAGGTCTTGGATTCCGCTCGTAACACTAACTTTTTCATTTCAACCAAGAACTTAGATAAAAAGAATAATTAATTGAAATAGTTTGTAATAAGCCTTCTTCTGTAAAAACAAGACCGTCTTTTTAGATCCTGGTATCGATCGACGTTAAAAGAACTAAAGGAGATCACTTAGAATATTATTAGATTATTGGGTTATCAGCTTTGGGGTTAGTTCTATTGGAAGCTCAATAGTTTTTGAGGTTCATTTATTGCTTCCTTGCAAATCTTTCCCCCTTCTGATGATTAAACGATCATATAGGAAAGTTCTGTAAATGTGGGATTGAGGAGGCTTAAGTTAGGTTAGGAGAAGTCCGTCTCTTTACGACCGTGCAAAACGCTACCATAATTGGTCTATTGTGCACTCGCCATGAACTGGGTTGTTAGCAATGAAGTTAGTTCTATTGAAGCTCAATAGATTTTGAGTTGGATTTATTTTTTCCCTTCAAGTCTTTCTTCCTTCTGATGATCATGATAATATACTGTCATATAGGAAAGTTTTATTAATGTGTGATTAAGGAGGCTAAATTAAGGTCAAGGTTAAAACAATGTCGCTTTCATTACGACCGTGCAAAAGTCGACCAATATTGATCTATTGTCTAATCTTCATTATTATATAGAGCTCTTCGAGCTTAAAATTTTTTATGAGATCCCAAAGCTTTGCTAAGGTCTCCCGAGTGTATTCTTTAGGCCAGGAGTAGAACTTATCTCAAATTGTATAGGCTTCCGTACCAAGAAAGGTCACGTTCCGCTGTTTCTTCTTCTTTCTGGCCATATCTGCCGCTTTCTGCCGCTCCGAGCCTGAGGTCGTTTTGGAAGATCTCAGGACTTTTGATTCGATGGTTAAGGTTAAAAGGCGTCGGCCTTTTCATTGTATACGGCTTTCGGATAAGTTAAAGGCTTATCAGATCCTAAAGCTTTGTTAAGGCAGGTAAGGGCTCCCGTGTGTATGCTTCACGTATTGGCTTTTCCTCACGAGTAAGAAAGTCAGGCCTTCGCACCAACAGAGGATATGTTCCGATCTTCCTTTTCCTTCTTCTAGGCATCTGACAGGCTTGTTTCTGTTGATCCGAGCCTATTATGTCTCCAGAGTCTGCAGAGTCCAGCCAGCAGTCCTACTAAACACGTCCTAGGTTCAGTAGTTGTGCCGTTAGTTTGGAACACTATTGCAATGGCCTTTTAATGAACTTTTTCGCCTATGTCCTAGAATTCAATACCATTGAACCGAAAACTTATTTTTAACTCATTATAATAAACCATCTGATGGTTCTCTGTTTTTTCCAATTTGGTATACCCCAAAAGGTGAGTCGATAGGTGTCCTCATCGAACTGCCCTGGCCCACTTAATTTTCCTACCTAGTCCTACCTAATTATTCGAGGAATTTATATGACCCGGTTGTATTTTTTTAACGGTTGCGTTGTGGGTCCTGAGGAGAAGTGAAGCACCCCAGGTCATCAAATGTGTTATGCCCTCCTTTGCCTTTTTACTGAAGAATGTGATGCTTGACGCGAGTTTCTCTGAGATGTCTATTGAGCCTGTGCCCCGTCAAGTAACCTGTTTTTAGTAGTAGTATGACAGTATGAATTCTTAACCCGTAGAAGGGTTCAGGTCCCCCCAACGGTATGGCAGTTTCTTTTCTTCCGTCTTCATTTACTTCAACTACAAAATGCCCTGGGAATCACCTGTTTGCATTTTTGCTTGGGGGGGGGTCGAATAAATATTTTCGTCCTTCTAGCTATTGTAGAACACCTATAAATTATAACCATATCTTGGAAAGTACACTATAAGACCTTACTGTTCCTGTACCGTTACAAGGCTAATGTTTCACATTCACAAAATATCTCTGGTTCCTCCTGACAGAGTTGGCATATGACTCGGGCCTTTCTTTAGGATTTTCTTTAGGTGGTAGTTAAGTGGGTACTGGCCGATATAGAGGCCGTATTTTTCTCAAATCTTGCTTGCTAAAAGATAGGCGTTCTTTCGCCTACCTTGTTGAAAGATAAAGCTTTTAGCATGTCTCACAACTAATCTTTAAGCCCAGTGCTTGATTTTTTCTTTCCCAAGCCATTTTTCCAGTTCCAACTTAAGCACACACTCCAGTGGACCTAGTTGTGGTTCTGGCCCTATGGGTAAGAGGGCTGCCCCCTGGCCAGTTGGGTCAGCCAGTATATTTTCCAGTTCCAACTTAAGCACACACTCCGGTGGACCTAGTTGTGGTTCTGGCCCTATGGGTAAGAGGGCTGCCCCCTGGCCAGTTGGGTCAGCCAGTATATTTTCTATACCTTCTGTGCCGGAACCCACTTTAAAGTAATATGTTTTGGATTCTGAACTTATTTAATTTGGCCTGGCAATTCAGAACTGCTGATGTTCGAGTTCTGCGATGGATTGGCTCCCTGGAATGAAACTACATATGTATTTTCGTTTCTCTGTCACATTGAATTTAGCCCACCTCTCAAATACAAGAACTTCAGTTAAAAAATATTGATCCATTTACCAATTGATTGCTTGACCTCTGTTCTATCCTGCGTCCTGGTACCATATACCAACCAATTGTTCCTTCGTTGACCAGGGTAGAGATTTACGATATTATTTATCTTCTGACACATTGCTTTATCTGAACGCTATTAACTTTAAATACTTGGAATGTCTTAAGCTATTCATTGGTTCAATTTATACCGCATGATCGACAAGGTATGTTTTCTACACTAATAAAACTTAGTTGGTTTTTATTAAATGCCTTAAAATGATGTTATGTGACTATTGAGCATGAGGTATTGTTGTCCATTCTTTTTAGGTTTTTATCCATCAAAGTTCGTTCATCATGAAGAAACGACATAATACCAGTCCAATCAGACATGCGCGTATTATGCTCTCCCGTTTAAAGGGTTGTAAATCTTCTACAACCAAGCGGAGTTAAACGTAATAAAAAGCTCGAGGAAAGTAAAAGGCCGACGTAATCAACGTAGAAGGCGTAGGTTTATACAATAGGTGGTGGAAACACTTTTTCACAGAGGATCCCATAAAAATACTCTTATTCTACACCATTTCCACTTTCTTTTAAGTCTTGTCTCTGATTGGATTCGGAGAGAGTTAATTAAATACAAGGCTTTTCAAAGGCTGCGATACTATATAAAAAATTCCGTTTTTGACTCAAGGGTTTTAATTCAAACCTAATTCTTTTTAATGCCATATTATTGAAAAAACAAGTCAATGCGTTTTATTAAAAGTTATTTAATTATGATGGTTTGAAACAAAATTCAACCGGAACGTCATTTCAACCGGAAAATCATTTAGTGATAGATTAAACCTCTGTTCTTAAGGGATGGTTTATGGTATAACGCGTGTTACCTCCTACGGCCTCGCGGGGGCCTTAAGTCTCCTAGGCATCGAGTAAATCGGATTTCGTCTTGTCAAACAGAATCCCATTCTCAAACAAGAGTGGGTTGAGGCTGTTCAAAGGTCGTTGGAAGCGGGGAACGATGTCTAACCCGTCTCTTTATCATGACCTATAAGTGTTCTATAGGATTCATGTCAGGAGAACGTGCTGTCCAATTCATTGTGGTAATCCTTACGCCCTGGCTGACAACTCGAGCTACACGAGATCGAGCATTCGTCCCCAGTAAATGGAGCGAATGGGTTGGTAGCTTCCAGAAGAACTTTGTCAACGTACCTTAGTACAGTCACAAGTCCATTCTGTATAATAGTTGATTCCACCTCATACCATAACTGACTATCTTTGAAAAGGCTGTGACTTACCCATGGTTATATGGGTTTCGATCTGTAATAGAGCTATTTGCACACTTAGCATTATTTACAATAAATTTTCGAAATATCCCATTTGTACGGCATTTTAGTAGTAACCATCTCCTGGACTTAACTATTTGTGAATATGGAGTTATATCATTTGATGTACAATCTCTGTTTACTCAGTGCCATTACGGCCTGTTACCTATATTGTACAGAAAAGGTGGGCTGAGCTGGAACGGTTCCATCCAAACCTGTCGATTGGTCTATTTATGGAGGTTTTGGAATTCACATCCGTGAACGGTTATTTTCGGTTCGAAGAAAAAATTTTCAAACAAAAAGATGGTGTGGCTATGGGTGGTGTGCTCTCACCTATTTTGGCTAATTTGGTAATGTCTGACTTATTAGAATGGATGATGATACAATTACCATACGATATAAAGCTATTAATAAAATATGTGTATGTCCTGGGCGTAGTACCGAAGGAACAAGTTCAAAAAACACTTTATCTTTTGAATTCATACCACGTAGCTTTAAAGTTCACATCAGAAATTGAATCAGAATAATTTGACAAACTTGCACCCATATTTAAAGTCAAAAGGGCAGGTCAGTGCAGGATACAATATGTTCGACAAACGAAACAAGTTGTCAGTCAGATTGAACCAACACAGATTAGATTGTGTGCAAAAAAAGTTAATGACCGGTTTGTCAACGCATACTAGCCATTTTTTTTCAACTGGATTCTCCAGAGATCCTTGGTTGAGAAACTGGTTTTGAGAAAAGATTATTTACGAGAAAATCCACATCCCTGCTGCTCCTAGTACCTGCAATCTGCAAACTGACAGATTAGGCTCCATCATGGAAAGAGGGAACGATAGTGTGCGCCACGTTGAGCATTTAGATAACCGTTAGGATACCTTTGTTAATTGTAAACGTCCAACTGGAGGCGACGGGTGAAGCCGGGAACACTCTTACCCGATGCAACGCCATGCGACGCTACCCGACGCCTTGCCACGTTTTGGTAGGGTGTGCACATCTATGCGACGTCAAGCGCACGCCACGTAGTCACACAGCGCATATCACAAATCAGTATCAAAATCGCAACGCCTTTTATTCTTAATACACTATTTTGAGCAAAACCATGTAATAAATTGTTAGTTAAATTTAATTGTCTTAAATAAAGGTATTCCGGTGTTTTGATAAATTTTCTTCCTAACCATCATAATTAAATAATTTTTATAAAAACTCATGAATTTTTGATCTCGTTTAATTTGTTTTGATTAAAATAAGAATGTTGTAATTAATATAATGGGAAAATTACATATACATAGTTCGAAATAAACTACAAAAAATATGAGTGTCCTGTTCTGACGCTACTCGACGAAAACGGTGTAATTTTATGAACCATGAAATAAATTGTTAGTTAAATGTTATGATTTATTATTTTATTGATCAATTTTCTACCGAACCATTAAAAGTATTATTTATTTTAAAATAAAAATCGATGAATTTAATCTCGGCTAATTTGGTTTTTATTAAAATAAGTTTATGTAATTAATAAGTACTCGATGCTACCCGACGTAGGTCTGGACAGTGGGGATCGCAGAGAGTAGAGTAGGGTAGCGTTGCATAGCATCGGGCAGATCTGCACGGGGGTAATACACTAATGGACTTTGGATTTGCGTCGGGTACCGTCGCATAGCGTTCCATCGGGTAAGTGTGTTCCCGGCTTCAGTCGCCCTCGGTTTTTATCCCATGTACATATTTTAAGTTTTTAATGTTTTAATCGTTATTTTCGGGTATAAGTTTTAATGTTAACTAGTGTCTGTGATTAGAAAAAAACCAGTACCTGAATAAAGTTTTATGTAAAATAGTAATGCAAGCATAAGTTGTTGGACCGGTCTTTCCTTTTTTGGAATTTTTTTGGGTAATATCATTTTATTAATTTAATATTTAACTGTAATTATGCTTTTCAAAACTTGTAACACACACACACGCACACACACAAACACACAGAAGCCTCATCTCTTGTCTCTCAACACCTTACTCAACATGTGTTTTAATCTGTACGATGTACATAAATTCATTTTTCTTGGGAATGTAGGAATTTTAATTAATATTTTTTCAGTTTTATTATTTGTTATTTTTGTTCCTTGTTAATTGTAATTTTTAGAAATTTATTTTACACAATTGTATTGGTTTGTCAAAAAAATTTATATGTATTGTTTTTAATAAATCTAGGCCCTGAGGATAAGTCGCCGAAAGCTCGGTTGAACCCGGAAGCTGTTTCTTTTATTTTATCCGTCATTTGACCTCCCGAAGATTCAACTCGTCACATCATTTGCTATAGGTCGATAACCTCAACTTCATCGACAATAATACATTAGTTTGAATAAAAATATGAGTGTCCGGTTCTTTAGTCTGTACTCGATGCTACCCGACGAAAATCTGGACAGTGGGGATTGCAGAGCGTAGAATAGGGTAGCGTTGCATAGCATCGGGCAGATGTGCACGGGGGCAATACAATCTTATGGAAAATTGGACTTTGGATTTGCGTCGAGTTGCATCTGGTAGCGTCGCATAGCGTGGCATCGTGTAAGTGTGTTCCTAGATTTAGACAAGGTCCACCGCCTCCAATGAACGTTGAACATCTCCAAATAAATTGATAATTACATTTTAATCTATCACTAAATGATTTTCCGCTGTTTTAGTGAATTCTCTTTCAGACCATCATAATCAAATAATTTTGAAGAAAACTCATGAAATTTTGGTCTCGTTTAATTTGGTTTACGTTAATGTAAATAAGTTGTAATTAATATAACAATAAAATATATATACATGGTTTGTAATAACAAAATAAGAGTATCCGGTTTTGATCTTTGAGTGTATATTTGGATGAGGAATTTTCTAAGATTCGAAAGGGCAAATATCAATTTAGTAACGAAATACGATACCGGTTCAAAGGGTACAAAGGGGGTAGGAAACTTGTCGGATTTAATGGATGGCTGCATTGGAAAGGGCCTATATTCCTCGAAAGAGCAAACCTGGGGGATTCGAATCCCTACTTGTTGCTTCCTCCTTTGATTTCCGACCGACTCTACTCTTAGATAGCTGTCGATCCTTCATTTTTCTTCAAAATTTATACCATGAGATTTTCTGCCCTTTTTGAAACAAATCAACCACGTTTGAGCCGTTAAAAGTTAACTTTTTTGTCTTGGTTTACAACGGATTTTTTTCTTCTATTTTATTACAACATTGCTACACCGCTTCAAGTGACTTAGCTGTCTTTAGGAAGGTTAATTTAAATGTAGGATTTCAAAAGTGAAATTATACATTAATAAATTACACTCCTAATCATAGCACTATTCACGTTCCTCTAGAGGTGCATCGCCGACTAAAAAATGTCCAGGTGTCAACACAGAATAGTCGGAATAGGAAGAAATCACGTAGAGAGAGAGCGTAAATTTAGAATTGCTTCAATCTTGACAGCCACGGTGCACAACTCCTCAAAAGTTAATGGTTGATGATCCAGAACCCGCGTGAGGTGATATTTCAGTGACTTTATCGCCGCCTCCATAATCCACCAATGTGAGGGGCTGACAGCGGTATGAAGCTCCATTCGATGCTCCTCTTCACCATCTGGACGTCGATTTCTTGTCTCGTATTCTCGGAGGCCTCACATAAAGTTCGGACAGTTCACGTTTAGCTCCGACGAAATTTTTCGCGTTGTCGGACATCAACTTGCTCGGGAGCCCTCTTCTAGCAACAAATCAGTCCAAGCATGCGAGAAATGCCGGAGTCGATAACTGCGAGACCACCTCAAAATATAGGCTTTGCCCAGAGCAGCTTTGCGTCGACGATTCCCGTCTCTGGAATGGACCGGCGAAATTCACTCCCATATTCAGAAATGCTCTGCCTTGTTCAAATCTTGAGATGGGCAAATCCCCCATGAGAGACGCACTGGGTCCAATTCTCAGAAGATGGCACCGAATGCAGCGGTGGACACGAAATCGGACAAGCCATCGCGCGTTGGGAACCCAGAATCTTTGCCTCAGTAACGCGAATAACAGTTGGATCAAAACCGCTCACTCAGTGAAATGAATCAGCTCTTTTTCAGCTCACTGCTCGCGTTATCTTACCCATAATTCCAATCCCGGACGGCCTAGAGTGGAGAAGAGCGGAGACCTCCTGAAGCGAAGACCGGTGAGAGTGGCTGAAGGAGCAAACGGGGTGAGTCATCCGTCAAAATTAACGCTTAAGAGTTGGCATCAGAGTTGAGGGATATCAGTAATACCGCACTTTTTTCCAGAACGGTTCACCGCTCGTTCAGTAAAGTGAGTTGACTTTTTTGATCAGTCCCATCACCACTTTCCTCCAGTGTAAAAATAGAGCATAGGACCGAAAGTGCTGCCTTGCACCCGCTCCGGTATGGTGGATGATGTAGATAGAATTCCGCTTCTTAATCGAAAGACCTTTCGGGCAGACAGTTATATTTACAGATCATGTTACACCAGGTAACTAATGTCGGACAGACGTCTCTTTCTAGAGGAGGAAGAGACAACAGAACCGCCTTGCTAGGAAAAGCAGTAGGAAAAGCTATGATACTTCGCAAAGCCGTTCGTGAGCAACGTGGACCTCGATATACCCTTGAGATGAAATCTGTACTTCACTAAAGAAACGACAATCTTTCCTTAAAACCAGTAGCGTGCTCGGACATATTAGACTAAAGTTTAAGTGCTAAGTTAAGTAAGTGAAAAGTAGCCAAGTTCAAGTATAAGTGGGTATCCCTATGACTCTAAATCGATAAAAATTGTTGATAAATGAGCAATTTTTTCCACCATACGTTATTAAATATTTTTAATATGACGGGATTACTATAGCGATTTTTAACGTGCTGCACGCGTCTTTTCATTTCACGGGTATCGATCTTTTCGAGTTACATTTCGAGAAAACTTTTGATATGCGACTGGTCGGTTAAGAAGTGCTTATATTATTTTCTTGTAGAATGGATTCTCTTTTTTTGCCGTGTAATAACATAACTTAAGTGCATGTTTCATAGTGCTACCGTTCACTTTACCAACTCATTTAGCTTTATCTCGAGATTCCCGATCATGAGAACTTCTAACACCTGCTCAATACGGCTTCGGAGACTTAAGATCGAACCTAATTATCAGGTGAGTCAATAACTTGACCTCCTATTCCCGATCACTATAGCTCCTAAACATCTGCTTAATACAGGTTCTGTAACTTAAGATGCAAACTTCTGATCAGATGGGTTTTCAAACTCCTCTAACTTTATCAGGAGAATCATGATCAGAAGAGCTCCTATTAATTTAAGATCTAGACGACTGATCATATACTCTTGATACACCTGAGCCGAGACTCCTGATACTACACTACTGAACAGTACAACAGTAAAATAAGGTTCCTGTAACTTAGATTGAAACTCTCTAATCAGCGAGCTCCTTAACTTCTGCTAATTAGAGCTATTTTAACTTTATCTCAAGATACCTGTCCTGAGAGCTCATGGTACAACTGAGTCGAATCCATTTTCAAGGATCGAGCCATTGAATAAGGGCTTAAAACCTTTAATAAGGAAATATTTATAATTATTATTTTAAAGGACGTTTAACAGCTGCTTTTATTTCATGCCGCTTTTCATTCTCATTCAATGGTAATTTAAACAACAGCAGTAACGTAAAGGTAAAGTAGACTCCGTTTTAAAAGGATTTACATTATACCTAGAAACAAATGGTTTAAAAGGGAAACCAGAAAACCCA